GGAAATCGGAGGGGGAGACAAGCCATGAGAGACTATGGACTCTGAGAAACAAACAGTAATTTTTTACCTTTTTAATGGCATATTTTGCTGCAGAAATATTTTTGTTTTATATTAAATATATCTCATGGTGCAAAGATGTGGAAGTAGAAATGAGAGAATTTATGAATGGAAAGTATAGAACACAGGGGACTATAAGGCCAGGCAACCTGGGTGAGTCAGTTTACCCCACCTTGGCTGCAACCCCCATACTAGTGATATGTGGCCAGTACAGATTTTCTTAGTCTGTCTCACTGGCTACAAAGAACCAAAGCTTATTGACAAATGCAGCTGCTTTGAGGAAGGGTAGAATCTTGAGGGTGCAATTCTTCAATTCAGATGTGGAAGAGGATTCATTTAGTGGAAGCAATGTACTTATTGCAGAGACCATCAATACATGAGATTGTTACGCGTGTTGGCTGGGACACAGGGAATTCCTGTCTGCAGTCTCAGTGATATTTTGCTGGAAACAACCCTCCTCCTTGCCAGCCCTATACTTGAATATGGAATTCCATGATGACCACAAAGACTTATTGTGCTCCATGCAGTCTATGGGCAAAATAATGCAGGAGAGGCCAGAAGGGGTATGGGTGAAGAGGTAGATGGTGTGGTGGGAGGAAGTAAGGAGAAGAAGAGTGAGGGAGGGACTCCTTTGCTTCCTTGTTTCCCACACACAGAGCCCCTGTCGGCATTTGATTTTTGCAGTCATTAACATTTTTAGAGTCAGGCATACCAAGTGCAAAGTCAGTTACTTGCTGCTAATCTGAAAAGAGCACAGCTCACAGCAAGAACTGTGGGGTGGGGAACATGAGATTGGCAGAATCTGATTTGCAGGAAGAGCTTGTTCTGCACCCCTACTTCCATTTCCATTGCCTGGTGTCCCTAGATGGGCTCATCCCACCCAAAGCTGAATCTCTGAAGGGGTTCACTCAAGATCAGCCAGGCTACTTTGTTAAGATAAATGCACTCCTTTTCTAAAGAGCTGTGAACTGAGATTAACAAGCTAATTAACATTTCAAAGAGTAGGAATAAAAGATCATAAGTAAAAGCAAATGACGTCCTCTGAAGTCTGTGGTTCAAGAGATCAGTGGGGCAGGACGTGGTTAATCTACTCAATTATCCATCTCTACCTCTCTTTCCATTCCATCTTCCACCTTTCCCTTCCCCTCTTATTCTGTCTTCTTGCACGTGTCTCCCAAGCCTGAGTAAATCATGTTTTCCCTCCCTCTCATTTGCCTTTTGCCCTTTAACTAACTGGCCTTGAAGTTTATTTTTAGCATTTGTGTATTTAGTGACATTGTACTGACTTCCTTGACTTAAAAACACAGGCAGGAAAAAACCCTACCAAATTAAAATGCTCTGTCCTCAAACTTGACTCTGGATTTATTAATTGGAAAAATATGGGGGGGTGTGTGAGATGGAGTAAGATCTTTCCATTTGAACAGAACTTGGGGTGAATTCTTTTGCACTGAGTTCAGGAACAAAGCTGAGTAATTTCTACATGTCCCTAATGCAGAGCAATGGCTGAGGCAGTGGAGTGGGCATGAGAGACCCAGATTGGATTCCTCTCTGCTGTTTGCAAGATGTATGACTTTGAGCAAGTCCCTTTACCTCTTGGGGAATTATAATGTCAGCCTCTGTTACTTAGCTCCAAGCTTCTATCATGGACCGAAGACTCAGTTTTAAAAGGTACAACATTGTCTGGTGTCATCTGTGACAACATCCCGACAACCCCTCCAGCCAAATCCTCAAAGTCAGTCACTTTTCACTTCTGGATGATGGGATTGGCTCCCACATACAGCACTATTACTGTGTGCCAGGCACTGTACTAAGCCTTAGTCATGTGGTCCAGGATAGGGCAGTGGTTAAAAACCTGGCCTCTGGGTCCAGAATACCTGTGCTTGCTTCTACATCAGTGTAACTCTGAGCAACTTCCTTAACCTGTGACTTAGTTTCCTCATCTGTAAAATGACAATAATGACGATGATAATAGTACCTGTAATTCTGACCTTATTTAGAAAGGGTCTTTGCCAGTGTAATTAAAGATCTTGAGATGAGATCATTCTGGATTTCGGGTGGGCCCTAAATTCAATGACTAATGTCCTGATAAGAGAAAAGAGAGGGAAATGTGACATACACAGACATAGGGAGAAAGGCTGTATGCAGACAGTGATTAGAGAGATGCCCCCACAAGCCAAAGAATGCCAGCAGAGGCTGGAAGAGGCAAGAAAGGAATCCTCTCCAGAGACTTTGGCCCTGCTGACACCTTGATTCTGGACATCCAAAATTGTGGAGAATAAATTTCTGTTGTTTTAAGTCACCAAGTTTGTGGTAGTTTGTTGTGGTAGCCCTAGGAAGCTGATGCAGCCCTAGCCCTAGGAAGCTGATGCAGATGATAATAGTACATCTACCTCCCAGGATTGTTGGGTTAAATGAGTGGTTATATTTAAAGTGCTAAGAGTAGGGCGCCTGGGTGGCTCAGTTGGTTAAGCGACTGCCTTCGGCTCAGGTCATGATCCTGGAGTCCCGGGATCGAGTCCCGCATCAGGCTTCCTGCTCAGCGAGGAACCTGCTTCTCCTTCTGGCCCTCCCCCCTCTCATGTGCTCTCTCTCTCTCTCTCTCATTCTCACTCTCTCAAAATAAATAAATAAATCTTTAAAAAATAAAGTGCTAAGAGTACAAGGCACCTGCGTGGCTCAGTCAGTTGAGCATCTGCCTTCGGCTCTGGTCATGATCCCAGGGTCCTGGGATCAAGTCCCGCATTGGGCTCCCTGCTCAGCAGGGAGTCTGCTTCTCTCTCTGCCTGCTGCCCCCTCTGCTTGTGCTCTCTCTTTCTCATATAAATAAATAAAATCTTAAAAAAATAGAGTGCTAAGAGCAGAATCTGGAATACAGTGAGGGCTCTTGAAATATAGGCTGCTACATATTGTTAGCTCATTGGAGCTTACCGAGCAACCCTATGAAGTAGGTACTGTTATGACTCCCATTTTGCACATGGAGAAATGGAGGCTTAGAGAGGCTGAGCAAAGGTGAGCTTGTCTGGACTCTGCTCTAGCTTGAGCCACCCTTCAGAAGTCCGTGGAGTTGAACTTTCTGCTCATGGATCCTGGTTGGCTTGGTAACCCCTCATGATGATGTTCTCTCAGCAAAGATTCTTAGGTATGGATCCACCAAGACCAGAAGATATAGAGAAGACCTCCCATGTAATGGTGTTTATTCCTCCTGGATTCACGTTATCAGCCCTGGTCTTGGCATAGACTCTGCTCCAACAGAGCCAGGCTCTGTCTACACTTGGTTGTTTGATTGTCCTATGACCTGACCTCACTGGAGTAGCCTCAGCACCTCATCACAAGAGACAGGTGTGTGCTGCCTAAAAGTCCACACCCTCCCTCTTCAGGGACTTCATAGGTCCCAATGATTTCTTATTTACCCCTATTCTGCTGAGTGTAGATTATACAAATGATTAGAAATAAGTCAGATCACTTAGAGTAAGGCAAAGCCCTTGCTGGAAACTGCAAGGTCCTATGAGCAAGCAACTTGGTTACCCACCTCACCATCTTTTTATTTATTTATTTGACAGAGAAAGACACAGCGAGAGAGGGAACACAAGCAGGGGGAGTGGTAGAGGGAGAAGCAGACTTCCCACTGAGCAGGGAGCCTGATGTGGGGCTTGATTCCAGGACCCTGGGATCATGACCTGAGCCAAAGGTAGACGCTTAACGACTGAGCCACCTAGGTGCCCCTCCCACCTGACCATCTTTTATTATTGTCCCCCTGCATCACTCTCCATGAGTACTGACCTCATGGCCAGGTACTGTCCCACCTCAGGGCCTTTGCACATGCAGTCTAATTGCCTTTAATGCTCTTGCCCAACAGGTATGCATGCTTTCTTTTTTACTTCCTTGACTCTCAATATCACCATCTCAGAGAGGCCTTTCTTAATCAACTTATCCTTCCTCTTCACCTTTCCTGCTTTTTTCCCCTCCTTAGCACTTATAATTATGTAACATGCCATAAATTTTACTTATCTTGTTTATTGTCTTTTCTTCCAAACTACCATATAAGTACCGTGAGGATGGGGATACTTATCTGTTTTGTTCACTACTATAGTTCAGAGCCTAGGGCAGGGCTAGTGCACAGTATAACGCATTCCCTAAATAATTGTTGAGTGACTAATTGAAAGAACGAACAAAGCATAGCCCCTCCCCGATAATAGCTATGGAACTCCCGAACTGAAGTGGGTTAATTCACGAAGTATCTAGAAGCAGCACACGAAGAGAGAACTACTGGAACAATCGAGCTTTGAAGCATATGGAGGGAACATAGCCTCTTATTGAGCTTGATTTTAAAGGAGACAAGGAAAAGGATGTGGTGGAGAAAGGGGAATAGAATTCTAGGTGATGGAAATTTCAGATTTCTCAGGAAAAGTCAGAATCCAAAATTCATTTATTCAACTGGGAATACAGCAATGAACAAGTCAGAAGAAAAGTCCTTGCACTCAAGGTACTTACATTCTAGTGGTCATAATGTCAGGCAGTATGATCTTGGAGAAAAATATCTGCTTATTGGAATGGTGAGTTAGGAAGGGCTTATATTTCCAGAGGGCTGAGGGGTCTAGATCAGTGTGGCTTTCATCTGGCAGCCTGTAGGAAGCTACCTTAGATTCTTGATCCGGAAGAACCCTGAGAATGTCAGTTATGGGAGATTTCTGCAGCCACAGGAAGGATGGATTTTGATAGGGAAGGGCATTGGAAAGGGTGGGAGGTCCGAGAAAGGGCTGTTGTACAGAGGTGGAGGTGACTGGAGGGGGGTGGATATCACCATAGAAGGGGGTGGGTCAAAGGCACCTGGAATGAACTGAGAAATTGAGAAAGGATCTTAAAGCCCCGGAGTGTGAGAATAATCTAAATGTGTGTCACCAAGAACAACTACCTGATGGAAGGGAAGGAAGATAGCAGAGATGGTGCAGGGACTTTGATGCTGGGATTTGGGACCAGATTAGGCCAGATTAGGATCAGTCCCTAACTTCAGTTACTGTCCCATCACTGGGCTCTGTGAAGGCCCACAGGAAGGACCACAGTACTCTTGCTGTTTACTCTCCAGCGCTTGTGTGTGTTTGCTCTTCTCTATGTGACAAGCCAAGCTTAGTGCGGATGTAACCCATCAAACTGGAAATGGCCTGAAACTAGTGAGTCACACAGGATCTACAGAGTAAAACTTTGGTTGTTTTTGCCTGAAACCTACCACATCCTCCAACACTCCAAATCTTTTTATTAATGAAGTAAAATTTTAAGGTATTACATCTTTGGTATCATGAAGTGAGATGGCTGGGATTTCTCTGGCAGAATTTTGATCTTCACTTTAATAGGATGCTAGCTATAGATGTCAGGATGACTGTTTGTGTAAGAATCAAAAGATCATTTTTTCTTTTTTGTTCTTTTCCTCTGACACAGCTAATTGGCTTGAAATCAATCTGTTTTCTCAAAGCTTGGGTTTCCTTCAGTTTTGTCTCTCAGGTGAAGAGCTGAACTTTCTACCTGACTCTCACTTTAAATAGAAACATTTTCTCACTTGTCATATGAAACGGAAAAAACGGGAGGGAAGTGGTAGTCTTAATTCTCCAGTATAGTGAGACAATTCAAAAGAAAACAAACACAACACTTTGCTATTAGATATTTTGATAAAAAGTGTTTCTTGAAATTGTTTTTTGAAATGCCATTTCACATTGTGTGATAGAAACCGAATTTCTGTTATCCACAAGGCAAATGAAGGGCTCTTAGGGAAGTGGGGGAGAGACAGTCACTGTGAATTTTCCATAACAGAATTTGATTGTAGCATCATGGCATCTGAAAGATCTCTGGGGACCAGAGAAGAGGGGGCAGTGACCTAAGTGGTTCCCTTTTTATAAGCACATCCCAGCTAAGTCCCCCATGTACCCCCACATCTAGTGGTATGGCTAGTACCACCTCCTAAGAAGAGTCTGGCTTCCTGCATGTATAGGGCTTTTGAAAACTACCTGCCTTAAGCCATAGAAAACATGGTAGTATTTTAATTACTCCTCCCTGGTAATCTAGCCAGTTACATGAAAAACAAACTTAGCCATTATTATTATTTTACTTTTTTGGTAATAAAGCTTTTAAAAATCATGTATGAAAAATTCCTAAAGTTTCTCTCCCATCTAAGTTCTTTTTCTTATCATATCTGTAATAAGAATATGATGAAAGTCTTCAATATATTCTGATAATATGGATGTCATCGCGAAAGTTGGGCAAATGTGGAAAAGTATATTTCCAACTGTTAAGGAGTAATAATGTTAGCAAATAATCTCATTAGGAAATGGAAGAGACAGAGTCATGTCAGGCTATTTCCCACCTCAGGGCTTTTGCAGCTGCTGTTCCCTCTTTCTGGAATGTTCTTACTCGTTCTCATAGCTGGTGTTTTCTCATCATCCAGGTCTCAGTCAAATGTCGCCTTCTCGGAGAGGCTTTCCTGACCCTCAGTTGAATCCTTCACCCCAACTCTGCTGCATATCCCATTCCTTGGTTCTAATTTCCATTAAACTGTATAACATCCCTTAGTTTTAATTTCTTCTTAGTATGTATCATGACCTGGATTCACTGATTTATGACTTCTGTTCTGGCTTATTTATCTTCCCAGTCAGATTGTGAACTCCAAAGAGCAGGTATCTTGTTGGTCTTTGTCACTACTAAGATTAGTGTCCAAATACATGTGGAAGGAGAATGAGGTCGCAAAATTGTCATATTTAGGAAAACAAAATAATGATTTTTTTTTAACAGCTTGAGGGAGTAAAGCATTCAAAATTCAATTAAAATAGAAACTGCTGCAATGTGCTGCCCTTGGGTATTAGATTTGTAATTGTTCATCCAAAGTGCTGCTTGTCATGAGCTGTGTTTGTCAACAGCATCACTTTGGGAACTGAGGCAGGTAGTACCTAGGGCGACTCTTTTCCACATTCCAGAGCCCTGGCATCAAACAGGGGACTTCTGGCATACCAGTTATATCAGGATATTTTGGCTTCAAAGTATTAAAATCCAGACTCTAAATGGGTCAAAGCATAAGTCTCATGGGAAGATTGGAGCAAGGGTTATTCTTTTAGCAGTTCAAAATGGTATCAAATACTCAAGTTCTGTCCATTTCTCTGTTCTGCCATCACTGAATGTCATCTTATCCAGGCAGGGCAATGTCTGAGGAAGACGAGAATGCTGCCTTTCTTTTCCTAGACTTGCTCCACCAGACTTCCTCCAGGGTCTCATGGGCCATTTTTGGGTACATATCCATTGTTGAACTAATCATTGGTGAGGGAATGAGATTGTGCACAACAATAAGGCCTGACCCTGAGCCAGGGGCTGGTGGGGGCGGGGCACGGGTGGTGGTGGAGTGTATCCTTTTCCCATGCGGTGTGTGGACTGCTTGGGGAGTGGCAGTCATCTGAACAAAATTGAGGTTCTTTTGGGTGGGGAGAAGGAGGGGAAGTGCTGTATATTTCCTATGTTGTTGTTGTTCCTATGTTTGGAAGCAGTAACTAATGGTGTTGCTAAAACTTTTCTCCTAAGTTTTGTACTGTTTGGTCTGATGAGTAAAGACTGGTTCAAGATTCTAGAGGTTGATGAGCAGACTGGAGACCCATACAGTTACAGTCCTTTGGATTAAGTCCAAGCTTCTACTCAAGAGCTTCCAGAAGAGCTTCTGTTTCAGCATGTGGTGGGGGCTACTGCTGTTCAAGAGGGAGACCCAGAGGGGGAGAGTCAGTCCGGCTCCTCTTTCAGCTGCTTTAATCCCTGTTTTTAGGGAAGTGCAATCTATTCTGTAGAGCCCATCTCATTCCATGTGTTTCTTTATTGCTTTATCCTATCCTTCTTACCCAAAGCCTAAGAAAAAAGTTTAGGGATAGTTTGGGAAGTTGAGAGAGGAAGAGAGTGAGTTGTCAGAATGGAGGGCATGGGGCAGCTTTTCATTTCTTGTTCATTTCTGCTATATGCTATGTTTGTAATGATCAAAGTAACTTGTGCCTTTTATATAATTTTCTGCTTGGAGCTTTATTATGTTCTACAACAGGTTGAGACTAAGAATAGATAAGATAATGTGAATGTTGAAATGTTCAAAACTCCACAGCCTATACACCATTACCAATTACAACATATAAGTGTGGTTGAAATGCAAGGGGTGTGTCAAGCCAGAAAATGGCATGGAGTGTTGGGACTTTGATTTTTTTTTTTTTTTTTAAGATTTTATTTATTTGACAGAGAGAGACACAGTGAGAGAGGGAACACAGTGAGAGAGGGAGTGGGAGAGGGAGAAGCAGGCTTCCTGCTTCAGGAGCCTGATGCGGGGCTCGATCCCAGGACCCTGGGATCATGACCCGAGCCTAAGGCAGATGCTTAACAACTGAGCCACCCAGGCACCCTGGGACTTTGATGTTTGATGATATATTCTGAATATATCAGAATCTTTTTAAATCTTAAACATTTTGTGGTAGATTTGAAAAATGAGGGCAATCCTTTTTTGTTGTTGCTTGTACCCTCATAGACCAGTATGACCTATTAAACTGCCAGTTTGGGATTCTTCCCTGTCCTCATTCCTTATCTGGTCCTTGACCTAATTCTGTCCATTCTCCTTACCACAGGCACTAACTCAGTCTTGGCCCTTATCACAGGACAGACAAATCCTTTTGTTCTTGAATTATTTCCCTATTACTTTGCAAGTGTGGTATGGATAAAGATGAACTTTTACCTATCTTTGATGTCTTCAGATAGCTATCACAAGACCTTATGGAAAGTGGAGGAAAATCAATGTTTGTTGATTTCTTGTTGACGTTTTCTTTTCTGCTTTTGGTTTTAGAGTCTGAACTGAAGAATTTTTGTTCCAGAAATATACTGATCATCCTTGGCTTCTCCTCTATTATGGCTGTGATTTCTTTGATTGCTGTGGGGCTGACCCAGAACAAAACATTGCCAGAAAATGTTAAGGTAACTCAAATCTGAGGGGTTCTGGCTGGAGTGCGGTGGGGGAGGGGAAAGAGGTTGTGGTAAATCAGAGCATACAGGAGGGGTGGAGTTTCTGGCAGCCCAGGAGCAAGTCAATATCCACTGAATTAGGGAGGTTAAATGGAGTGATGCTCATTCTGGAAGAGGAAATGTCTTGAATCAATTAGTGGTAGGAAGATAATTGTCTTTATGCTTGTTCAGCAATAATTATTGTTAATACTTTAACAGAAACAAATACTTTATTCACTACATCCAGATATGTACTGATATCATGTGGTGATATTTTGTGCTGATATTCTATGATCTAGTACTATCTCTTCTTCTTATTCATTGTTTCACTGTGGATGTGTCACAACACTGCACTCTTTGATCTTCTTAATCATTATTACTATCACGAAAATAATAAAATTTATTAGAGAACATTGTATAAAGCTCTTTGAAAGTCAAAGATTGTGGAGAAGACTTGTTCCTCATCTTCAAAATATTAAAGAAAGTGGGGCGCCTGGGTGGCTCAGTCGTTAAGCATCTGCCTTTGGCTTAGGTCATGATGCCTGGGTCCTGGGACCCAGTCCTGCATTGGGCTCCCTGCTCAGCGGGAAGCCTGCTTCCCCTGCTTCCCACTTGCCCTGCTTCCCACTCCCCCTGCTTGTGCTCCCTCTCTTGCTGTGTCTCTCTTTCTCTGTCAAATAAATAAATAAAATCTTAAAAAAAATATTAAAGAAAGCAGCAAAATCCATGGGAAAAAAAAAAACAGAGCACATACATGTATCAAATATAGTGATTTGGAATGAATTCATGGATGGACAGATTTCTTGGAAATTTCCACATTTGAAGAGATAGTTAATATCATTAAAAATAATTAGGATCGTTAACTCTGCTGTGATTTCTGCTTCCTTTCAAATTCATCAAAGTAAAATTTCAAAGACATGAATATCTTACAAGTAGCTTGTAATATCATTATTATAATATGTTAATTAAAAAGGATGTGGAAAATTTAGATTTATGTTGTAAGTACACCATTTTAAACTTTCATTGAAATTAAATAAATGTATAAGTAAACAAATCTAAAAGGGCCCAGAATATGCCAGTATGCTAATGTTGTACATATTGGCACATATGTACACATAGACGATGCCATATCCAGAAGTTAACTTGACCATGGAGGCTCTGAAATACATAGGCAGAAGTTTATTTTCTTGTATTTGAAGATACTAAACTGTGAGATTGGAAAGATGGATGCATATGCCAGGCTTCTAAAACTTTTGCCACCCACCCAAATCAGTTGCTATATAGCGGAGGCCTGGAGTTACATTGGCATTCCTTTGCGACATGAACTCAACTCAGTGTTGCCGTGCACAGCAACCCCTTTGTCAGCTCAGAAGGCTGATATTATCTCGTTGTCAATGGTCTCTTGCCTTTTAATGTTGAGTGATGTTGGCTCTCTTGGCAAAACTTCACTCACAGTTGAAGCCTCGTGACATCTTGGTTCTGCTCTTTGTTTACCAGCTGCTAAAGTCATGATTGCCTTTATTTGACCTTTTTACATGTTCATTATTGCATCATTGGAGAGGGGCACTGCCTAGGAGGCAAAATCCGTGACAGACTTGAGCTCTGTGTTCCCTGTGAATACTTCTGGTCATGGGTGACCTTCCTGCATTCACAGTGGTCATCATTGACTCTGTTGTGATTCTGTGTTGTGCTGGCCCCACAAAATGGAACAGGTCTTTAAATAAGAGGTATGAGTATTTGAAGAGTAGACAGTGGCATATGAAATGAATCTTCATAGCAATATCACTGGTTTATTTTACACAAAGATCATTTTATATATGCAAACTAGGCATTTATTAAGGTCATACCCTAATTTTAGTAAGATTGCTGGCATATATTGAGGGCAAAAATATTTTAGGAACTTGTCTTTGGTGATGGCTTTAAGCTGTGTATGCTGCCCAATTTAATAGTCACTAACCATATGTAGCTATTTCAACTTAATTAAAATAAAATAAAATAAAACAAAATAAAATAAAATAAAATAACTTTGTTCCTTAATTGCACTAGCCACATTCCAAGCCCTCAATAGCCTCATGAAGCTGGTGGATACTAAACTGGACAATGCAGACACAGAACATTTCCACTGCTGAAGGAAGTTCAATTGGACATTGCTGCTTTAGAGCATACTAAAGATATTTGATAATATCTCTGAAATCGTTTAAAATTAAGTTTGCGGAATAAGGTATATGATAAAACATTATAAAATCTAAAATAAGGAACAGGAAATGAGACTTTTTCTTGTGTGGTTTATAAACTAATACCAGGATCATCCCGGATATTATGAGCTACTAAAGTGCTTTGAGTAGTTTGTTGGAATAAATTGATTTTCTTTCAAAAATTATGATTTAAAGGATAATACTTATTTCGATATTTGTACCTGGTACATTTGTTTTAAAAACATAACATCGAACTTCCAGGGAAGATGGTGGAGTAGGAGGATCCTAAGCTCACCTCATCCCAGGGAACAAGATAACACCCACATCCATGTAAATAACCCAGAAAACGATCTGAAGACTGACAGAACAGACTCTTCACAGCTAAATGCAGAGAAGAGGCCATATCAAAGAGGGTAGGGAGGGTGGAGACATATTTGGAAGCTAAATGGACCTGTCTGTAGGAAGGAGGATCAATACAGGCATGGAAAGGGGGAGGACCAGACTGTCACACCAAGCACCCCATGCGCACAGGGAAAGCAGAGGGGCCTAATTTTCCAAGTTCTTATAGTCAGCAGGGATTAATGCCTGGAAATTTGAAAATTAGTGGGCTCAGTTCTGGAAGAGCCAGGAGGGTGAGAGGAAACTGAGTCCCCACCCTTAAAGAGATAGCACCCTTAAACAAACAGCCCTGTGGAGATACAGCATAGAAGCAGCAGTTTGAAAAGCATCTGGGGTGTGCGGGAGGGAGATTTGTTTACTAATCTCAGCATGTGCTTGGAGGGGCAGGGATCATTGGGAGACTTCTCTAAAAACAAAGGAGCTGGTGGATGCCATTTCCTTCCCCCACCCTCCAGCATAAACACATGGACACCTGTGAACCAGCACTTCTCCAATACTACCTAACTTGCTAACAGCATGCCCCGCCTTTGTGTTCTCCTGTGGACATGCTGGCTCCAGCCAGGCCTCACTCCAGGTCTCCTATCACAACAGACCTTACTAATACCACCCACCCTGCCCCCCAGTGCTTCTTGGGATCCACCCCCTCCAATACAGCCAACCTTGGTTCTGGTGGCTACAGGTCTCCTTTCACAACAGACCTAAACAAACCTTGCTAACACTGTGTGCCCCACCCCCCCATCCCTACATTCTCCTGTGTACCTGCCCCCTCCAGTATGCCCTTGGCCAAAGCCCATCCAAAGTGGTGCCACAAGCCTGGCAGTGTGCAAGCAGCCCTGATAGGCCAGCACCACTCCAAAATGACTCCTGACCTGGGGAGAGTGGAAGATAACCACACACACCAATCTGACTGCAGCCCCAGCAGTGGGCTGGCAGCAGATGTCTGGTCTGACTGCAGGTCCTGCCCACCTGTGAAAGCCTCTCAGAAGACAACACAAGGAAAGTGCCCTACAGTTTGGTGTTACTGCATCTCTGGCAAACTCCTGGTCTAACTCAACTCAAGCTGAAAGTGGCCCTATACTGGCCCACTAACAACACACAGCCCAAACTCTGCCCACAACAGGCAAAGAGAGCCATCACAAACAACTGGACTGAAGGCAAAAGCGGCTAAGCCACAACAGCAGGACACATGCATCACACATAGGAGATACCCCTGAAGCGCCAGGTGAACAGGGGACACTGTATGGCAGGACACTACAGGACCTCTTCTTCATAAGGCCATTACTGTCAAGTACATGAGACATAGCTGTCTTTCTTAACACACAGAAACAGGTGCAGAGAGTTAGACAAAATGAGGAGACAGAGGAATAGATCCCAAATAAAAGGACAGGACAAAATCACAGCAAGAGAGCTAACAAATGGAGATAAGTAATATGCTTGTAGAGAATTTGAAGTAATGGTCATAAAGATACTCACTGGACTTGAGAAAAGAGTGACACTTTTAACAGAGAACACAAAAAAGAGGGTCACCTGGGTGGCTCAATTGGTTGAGCAACCAGCTCTTGGTTTTGATTCAGGTTGTGATCTCAGGGTTGTGGGATCAAGCCCTGTGTCAGGCTCTGTGCTCAGCTGAGAATCTGCTTGGGATTCTCTCTCTCCTTCTCCCTCTGCCCTTCCCCCGTTCTCTCTCTCTCTTTCAATAAATAAATAAAATCTTTGGGAAAAAAAAGGAAAACAAAAACAAACCAATCAGAGATGAAGTACTCAATAACTCAAATTAAACCTACACTAGATGGAATAAATAGTAGACTGGAAGAAGAAGAAGAATGGATCAGTGACTGGAGGACCGAGTAATGGAAAGCAATCAAGCTGAACAGGAGCAAAGAAAGAAATAACAAAAAAATAAAACCAGGGAATTCAGTGACACCATCAAGCATAAAAACATTCACATTATAGGGATCCCAGAAGGAGAAGAGAGAGAAAGAGGGGCAAAAAATTTATTTGAAGAAATAATAGCTGAAAACTTCCTGAATCAGGAGAAGGAAACAGAAATCCAGATCCGGGAGGCACAGAGAGCCCTCAACAAAATCAGCCCAAGGAGGTCCACACCAAGACATACAGTAATTAAAATGGCAAAAAGTAGTGATAAAGAGAATTTTAAAAGCAGCAAGAGAAAATAATTACTTATAAGGGAAATCCCATAAGGCTGTAGATAATTTTTAAGCAAAAACTTTGCAGGCCAAAAGGGAGTGGCATGGTACATTCAAAATGCTGAAAGAAAAAAACCTGCAGCCAAGAATACTCTGTCCAGCAAGGCTGTCATTCAAAATAGAAGAAGAGATAGTTTCCCAGACAAACAAAAGTTAAAGGAATTCATGACCA